CTCCTGGGATATTACTCCTGGGATGAGTACTCTTGGGATACTATTGCTGGTATTCATACCCCGGGATACTATTCCTGAGATGCTACTCCTGATATGCGTAGCCAATGGGTGCTTTTGTGTTTCCCCAGAACTTCCTTTCTCTTATTTTATTTTTCATTAGATTGTGAGACGGCGTCTCACTATGTTACCCTGGAACTTGTTATGTAGAGCAGGCTGGCTTTAAACTCTTAGAACTGCCTACCTCTGCCTCCTGAATACTGGGATTAAAGGCATGTGTTACCACTCCCATCTCCCAAACTTTTCTTATACAGTAATTCTCAATAACCTTAGGCTTAGTAGGATGTGGCTGTTTATAATCGCTCAGTAATGGCTGAGGAGATTTGAATGGGGGACCATCTGACTTCCAAATAGCTGTCTTGCCTACAAAAAAAAAATAGGCCTAGATCCCCTGAGCAGAGAGAAAGGCCAAATCTAGGGACCATCTGGCCAAACCTAGCTTGGTTACCTCTTAACTCCTTGGCACCCAGTTACCTGGAAAAACTAATCTGACAATGAGAGGCCAATTGCTGATGGAGGCTGCCTCAGGGCTGGCTGGGGGGCACAGGGGAAATAGGAGGGAGAGGAGAGCCCTAAACTCCACAAGTTCAACGCCTCCATCTTCTGACTCTAGTGTTTCCCTCTGTTCAGGGAAAAGGAACCTGTGAGGTAGGCCCTCACTTCTTCAGGCAGCTCAGCTCTGGGGACTGTGACCCACCGGCCCAGACAGGTAAAGGCAGGGCCGGGAGCCCCGGAGGGCAGCGGGCAGGGCTGTAGTCCAGCAGTGGGGAGCATGGGCGGCAGTCTGTAGCTCTTATGGTCACTGGTGGAGGCTGAATGAGGATGAGTTTGTCTTGTGCTTGCTACTTACGACTCAGGCCACAGGGCAAGGGCTGGTTTGAAGAGAATCAAGTGTGGTTCTGACCATGCTCTTTAGGCTTGCTCAGTTCTAAGGGGTAGGTAGTGGCCTGGGATGGGCCACCCTGAAATACATATCCCACTTCCGGGCATGGGAAGCAACATGGAGCTGTTTTGGCTTTCTGTTCTAGCTGGAGTCCTGGCTCACCCACTACCCCAGGAGGCTGTTGTGGGTCTGGAAGCAGCAGCAGCAGGGGGAACGGGAGAAGCAGCCATGGAGAGGTAGGCTCTTCCCTCCACGCCCCAGGACTGCCTCTAGACAGGCCGTGACTATAGGGCTCCCGAGCAAGGCTGGCGCTGGCAGGAAGAACATGGATGCTTGTGTTTCCTGGGCTCCCATTCCCAAGTTCCTGCTCTGAGGAACTGCTCGGATGGAGAAGGCACAGAGAAAGGGACTTTCCAGGCTCCCCCAGGCTTACCTCAGGGAAACCCAGCATCCCAGGCAAGGGCCAGGTGCAAACAGACATCAAGAAGACTTGAGAAGCAAGGGAAGGATAAATGATAGTCTGGGCTTAGTCATCAAGGGCTCCCCAGTTTGTTCTCCTATCCAATCCTGACCATAGCCCACAGACTGCAGTCCTGGCGTCTATGGGACACACTCAAGAAGACACAGGGAGAAGCCATTGCCATCACGCTATTAGGTGGGGGTCCAAGCTCACCCCCTACTCGACTTTGCATCTGCTTGTCAGAAGGGGGCTGACCTGGCTGTCTGTCAGCTCAGGAGCTGCTCTGTTAAACCCCTGTGGTCTAGGGCTGTACCCTGCCACTTTGCTACAGTGATGTTCATTCCTGTGGCATCTGCCTCTTTTCAGGAGCTAGAACTCAGCCTGTCATTGGCTGCTCTCCTGAAATTACCAGTAAGAGGGGCCAGCTGGATCTGTGGCACGTCTGCCTGGAGCTGGATGGGAGCAAACACCAGCTTGTGTTCTGAATGTGCTTTGTGTCCGTGTCTGTGTGTGCGAGTGCATGCATGTGTGCGCTCCAAATGGGCATCGGTGGTGTGTGGGCAGGGAAAGCCTGGCACCTGTTTTTGTCATTGTGCTGACTGCTCAGGAACTCAGTGGCTGTCTCCCTTGCCCCCAGCGGCTCTGCCATTTCTCTCTTCACTGTCCTGCCCGGCCCAGAGCAGAGATAAAAGCACATTTCCGCTCTTGCTCCCAGATCCAGGCTTCCCCTGCAGGCAGCTGCTCCCGACTGTCTGGGAGCCATTCATCTTCAAAAGCCAACCCCCTTGCATCTCTCTTCTCCATCCAGCTTCCCACTGACTGCCCAGCAGTAATGCCTCTGTCTGGCCAGCCTCTGCCCCTGACTTTCGGGTGGCAGAAGACAGTCCCCAGGACAGCAGGGTCTCAGTGTTGCTCTGCTTCAGTGGAGGGAGAGAAAGGGTGCAGTACCTGAGGGACCCACTGTTGGTGGGGGGAGCTATCCACTGGGAGAGGTGGCTGTTACTGCAGGGAGGCTGGCGTGGGTATAGATACTGGCAGTTCCATAGGAGCTGCCCTCCGTAGAGCACATAGGTGTCGTGTGTGTGTGTGTGTGTGTGTGTGTGTGTGTGTGTGTGT